CCCCCGAATCCTAAAGCCTAGACCCTAAACCCTATAGTCCCTAAACCCTAAACCCTAAACCCTAAACCCTAAACCCTAAACCCTAAACCCTAAACCCTAAACCCTAAACCCTAAACCCCAACTCTAAAGTTCTATATCCCCAGGGGTTTTGGTGCTCATGCTTGAAGAGGACAAGTAGAGGCGTGCCAGATCATAGCGCGGGCAGCTTTTAGGGTTTAGGGCTTTAGGGTTTAGGCTTTTAGGGTTTAGGGTTTTAGGGTTTAGGGGTTTTAAGGTTTCAGGGTTTAGCGTTTAGGGGTTTTCAGGTTTCAGGGTTTAGGGTTTTAGGGTTCAGGGTTTTAGGGTTTAGGGTTTTAGGGTTTACGGCTTTAGGGTTTAGGGTTTAGGGCTTTAGGGTTTAAGGTTTAGGCTTTCGGGTTTTAGGGTTTATGGTTTAGGGCCAGGGTTGAATCCAGGCACAGATTTGTCGATGCGATGAAGATAGAGCTCCCTCCCACACAAACCAGACGGGGTGTATCAGAAATGAGCATTCCATGAACTTAGTAGATATGTACTAAACCTAGTAGCTTATGGTCGTCATATATCGTGGCATACGATACCCTAAACAAGAAATCATGATTAGGGACCTAATGCTTATCACGAAGAAAAGCCTACCAGAAGCAACAAGTCATCCGATTTAGACTGAAGTACGTAGGTTACAAGTACAGTCTTTGTCTGTTGTTTCGGGGTTCCTCTTGCAAAAATGAACCGCAACCACAACACAAGAACACTCATCAAGGAATCCAAAAGGCTGCTCGAGAAGTGTTGACGAAGGTGCCCGGCAAACCCAGCAGTACCCCGAATTGCCGGGAAGCGTTATTCGGAGATGCTACACATCAATCGCTGAACTAGGTTGCACTCTGGGATACTACATCAGTTCTCTTCTAGTCCATGGAGGGGGCTTTTGCATAAATCCTAAACCCTAAACCCTAAATCCTTTTGGGGGCCCTTGACTCCTTGACTACCAGAAAAAATGAGGAAACGAGATCCCAAAGGTTCGCAAAACGGACCAATCATCTGACACGGGACAAGATCGAAGCCAGGAATACTAAGTCGCAGTAGTATTCTATTCCGTAGGCCTCCTCCTTATAGGATCTTATAGGTATACTGTATACTATAACAAACTAGCCCGCAGGAGGCGGTATAACCTTAAGCCCTGAACCTCATAACAAGCACCTCTAAAGCCTTGAGTATGTCGGTTTGGGAATTCGAGGGGTTCATCAAAAAGCGGCTTGGGGTCCTTTATATAAAGGAATTGATCTCAAAGGCTATCACAATATCCCTTAAGGGTTACCTACAACGGCGACGAGTAGGGGGATCTTCAAGTCTAGGACATTTTCAGGT